GGTGGGAGGGGAAACAGCACAGACCCGCCGCTGCAGAAATCCTAATTGCCTAGATGAACCTAGACAGAGGCTGCCCGAGGCAGGAGCCTCGTGTGGGACAGCATCGGGAGAAGATGAACAGTTCACTGTGCCCACATTCGTCACCATCGTTCTTCTTCACCTCCCTGTTAGTGTCAGGGGCTTCTTTAATGAACCTTCTAGCTGACAGCTGCCACTGTCCCTCAAGAAATGACATGCCTCTGCTGGAACAGATCATCGGATGAGGGAGAACCCTCCCCCAGCTTCCCTTCCTGACCTAGTTCCCCCAAATACCAACAGCCCTTGTGTCATCTGGAATACAGTTGCCATTTGCCCCCACCCAACACCTCCCACAGGATAGAGTCCCCCCCTCAGGAGCTGCGTGGTGGGGGCAGTCAGAGAGACCCACTGCAGGGACTTTGCAATACTTGAGTCCTGGTCAGCCTGAGGGGAGAGTGAGCAGAACTTTGGGACTCTGGAAGATGAGGCTGGAGCCACAACACTCTGGTTTGCTCGAAGCCTCCCCAGGTCCCTAGACCCACTCTGGTCCTGCCCTCCTCTGGCCTTGGCTGTCACTGTCATCTGCACCCATCAAGCTAGAGTGCTATGAAGCAGTCTTGTCTTCAGGGCTGGGGCTGGAGGTGCCCCTGACAGGCAGCCTCATTATCCCACTTGCAGGGAAATATTTGCTGCACACCTGGGAGCCCAAACCTTATAGAGCTGGAACACCGAGCTGCACAGCAGCTGGGTTGCTAGGGCTGGGGAAGGGTGGGGGTTACCCCTCAATACCCTTTGGCCCCTTCAGAATGTTGAGCTATGTGAATGTGTCATCTACCCAACAAGTAAATAAAAAATAAATAAATGAATGAAATATTCATAAAAAGAGGCAGACAGCCAGACTACACATATATAGTCCCAGCTACTCAGGAGGCTGAGGTAGGAAGATCACTTGAGCCCAGGAGATGGAGGCTGCAGTGAGCTATGATCATGCCCATGAATAGCCACTGCATACTCCAGCCTGGGCGGCATATCGAGAACCTGTCTCTTAAAAAAAAAAAAAAAAAAAAAGCAGCATACAAAAAAATGAACATCACTCACAACATACAAATCTTTTCAATATATGCCCATGAAAGGACCGAAGTGTGATTATCCAGGCAGGATTCTGTGGGGAGCCAGCTGTGGGCTCCACCGATAGTAGAATTGGGGGTGCATGGGGGAAGCAGGGATGCTCCTCATCCCTCAGAGCACAGTATCTGCCCACCAACACTCTGCCCTCAGCTCCCAGTTAACCTTGGTTGGGGCACTTAGCATGTTGTCTAAGAGTTATTCATGGGGAGGGGGGCGGCGGGCTCGGTGGCTCATGCCTGTAATCCCAGCACTTTGGGAGGCCGAGGAGGGTGGATGGCTTGAAGTCAGGAGTTCAAGACCAGCCTGACCAACATGGTGAAACTTCTCTACTAAAAATACAAAAATTAGCTGGGCATGGTGGCAGGCCACTTGGGAGGCTGAGGCAGGAGAATGGCTTGAAGGTAGGAGGCAGAGGTTGCAGTGAGCCAAGATCACGCCACTGCACTCCAGCCTGACTCTGTCTCAAAAAAGAAAAAGAATTAATCACATACAGGGCTAGCCCGAGTTTCTTGTCATTGAGAACCTTGTCTTTGTTATCTTCTTCCCTAACGGCCCTGCCTGTGGACTGCTGAATATAACTGTGAAGGGGAAGAGAAGGGAGAAGGCCATATAGAATTGGCAGGGGAGCAGAAGTCACTTTTCTGTGGGAGCAGAAAGATCCCCATTTTCCCTGCAGCACCTCCGCAGGGGAGCGCGGGCTCTGGGCTCTGCCTGAGGTCCTAATGCACAGGCATCCTTCTTGACTGGCACTAAGGGCCCGAACACGGCTCTCCCTGACCCTTCTCTGAGAAGGAGGGATTGGTGGGTGAGCAGCCTCACACCCTCAGTGGTCTGGAGGGCTGCATGCATGCTAAAGTTTGCATCACACTCAAGAGACCAGAGAGGGCCCTAGCTACCCACACATGTGGAGGTGAACATCGGCCTTGTGCACTGAACATGAGACATAAAAGGGCCTGGCGGAAAGCAAAAGCAGGGTCAGACTTGTAAAGTTGTCTGGACTTTGAATGCGTGCCCCACAATCTACACACAGATCTATTAGCAAACAGTGGAGTGGAGGGAGGAAGGGGAAAAAAAAAAAGCAAACAGTGGAAGCTTTACTGGCTCAAATTGTTTGGGCACAACCTCCGACCAATCACTGGCTTCCAGGGACAACCCCTAGAAAGTCAGATTTAAAAAAAAAAACAAGCAGGCTGGGTGCAGTGGCTCATGTCTGTAATCCCTGCACTTTGGGAGTCCAGGTGGGTGGATCATTTGAGGTGAGGAGTTGAAGACCAGCCTGGACAACACAGCGAAACCCTGTCTCTACTAAAAATACAAAAATTAGGCTGAACCCGGTGGCTCACGCCTGTAATCCCAGCACTTTGGGAGACCAACGTGGGTGGATCACAAGGTCAGGTGTTTGGGAACAGCCTGACCAACATGGTGAAACCCCATCTCTACTAAAAATATACAAATTAGCCAGGTGCAGTGGCACATCCCTGTAATCCCAGCTACTCGGGAGGCTGAAGCAGGAGCATCACTTGTACCTGGGAGGCGGAGGTTGCCGTGAGCCAAGATCACGCCATTGCACTCCAGCCTGAGCAGGAGTGAAACTCCGTCTCAAAAAATATATATATACAAAAATTAGTTGGATATGGTGGCGCGCACCTGTAATCCCAACTACTTGGGAGACTGAGGTGAGAGAACTGCTTGAGCTCAGGGGTTTGGGGATAGGGTTAGAGGTTGCAGTGAGCCGAGATCTCGCCATTGCACTCCAGCCTGGGTGACAGAGTGAGACCTTGTCTCAAATAAATAAATAAATAAAAGCAAGAAAAAACTGAGATCAGGGCCCGGAATGAAGGCTGCTAATATTACAATAATTTTTTATTAGAACATTCCAATTATAAAAATAAAGCTTGTTTTCTTAAAAAAAAAAAAAAAAACTGAACAGAGATAGCAGCAGTTACACACTGTGAGGAAAAGGAGGACTTCACAGAATTAGTCCAAGCAAACCATTAAATGAACAAACAAGAAGGGAACTGGAATCCAGAGTTGCTACAGTGTGTTTTATTATTTATTTATTTATTCATTCATTCATTCATTCATTCATTCTTATTTTTGAGATGGAGTCTCACTCCGTCACCCAGGCTGGAGTGCAGTGGTACAATCTCGGCTCATCACAACCTCTGCCTTCTGGGTTCAAGGGATTCTCCTGCCTCAGCCTCCTGAGTAGCTGGGATTACAGGTGCACACCACCACACCCGGCTAATTTTTGTTTTTCAGTTTTTTTTTGAGATGGAGTCTCGCTCTTGTTGCCCAGGCTGGAGTGCAATGGTGTAATCTCGGTTCTTCACAACCTCCGCCTCTTGGGTTCAAACGATTCTGCCTCAGCCTCCCAAGTAGCTGGGATTACAGGCATGTGCCACCATGCCTAGCCAACTTTTGTATTTTTTAGTGGAGGCGGGTTTCTCCGTGTTGGTCAGATTGATCTTGAACTCTCAATGTCAGGTGATCTGCCGGTCTCGGCCTTCCAAAGTGCTGAGAGTACAAGCGTGAGCCACCATGCCCAGCCTAATTTTTCTATTTTTAGTAGAGATGGAGTTTCACCATGTTGGTCAGGCTGGTCTCAAACTCCTGACCTTGTGATCTGCCCGCCTCAGCCTCCCAGAATGCTGGGATTATAGGCGTGAGCCACTGAGCCAGCCTTATTTATTTATTTATTTTGAGATGGAGTCTCCCTCTGTTGCCCAGGCTGGAGTGCAATGGCGCCATCCTAGCTCACTGCAACCTCCACTTCCTGGGTTCAAGCAATTCTCCAGCCTCAGCGTCCTGAGTAGTGGGGGTTATAGGTGTGTGCCACCACACCCAGTTAATGCTTGTATTTTTGTAGAGACAGGGTTTCCCCGTGTTGGCCAGACTGGTCTTGAACTCCTGACCTCAGGTGATCTGCCCACCTCAGCCTCCCAAAGTGCTGGGATTACAGGCATGAGCCACTGTGCCCAGCTTTATTTTATTTATTATTTATTGAGACAGGGTCTTGCTCTGTCATCCAGACTGGAGTACAGGGGCACAATCTCGGTTCACTGCAACCTCTCGGCCTCTGAGTAGCTGGGACTACAGGCGCACCAGTTGATTTTTATATTTTTTGTAAAGACAGGGTCTCACTATGTTGCCCCACCGCTGGTCTCAAACTCCCGGTCTGAAGAGATCCTCCCACCTCCACCTTCAAAAGTGCTGAAATTACAGGTGTGAGCCACCACATTTGGCCATAATATATTATCTAAAATGTCAATTTTCAATAAAAAATTGCAAGACATGCAAAGAAAAAGGAAAGTGTGACCCACACTCTGGAAAAAAAGAAAAAGGACTCAACAGAAACTCACTGAGGGGCCCAGATGTTGGACTGTCTCTCTCCTTCCCTCTCTTTCTCCCTGTTCCAATTTCCAGGGAAGAGGCTCTGACTGGCCGGGTTCCACCCCTGATTCTACCATCTGTGGAGGAGGTGGGGTGGGCAGAGAAAAATGATAATAACATAGTAGGTGGAAGCTACCTCTTTGAACCCACATGGATGAAGATCATTTCCTAGAGAAAAGAGGGGTCACTGGTTCCAGTTTAAGTAGACATCCCCAGAGGTGTCTGTTGCTTTTGCTTCTATTCTGAAAGGTAAGTGGTGATGCCTCCAGGAGCCCAGTGGCATTTGGATTTATCTCCCATTGGGAGGATAGCATTCTTCATTTGCTGGCTATTTCTTAGGTTGGTGATTTGCAAACATCCCTGCTCCCCATGGAAGGACTGTGTAGAGGGCTGGAAGAGGGGAGGGATGGGAAGACAGGTCACCAACCCTAGGCCCCTTTTCAGTAACCAAGTCTCAGAAGTGGTGCCATCATTCACTTCTGATTTAATGTAAATTGCATTAAAAAAAAAAAACAAAACAGTTGTTGAATCTCTTCCCTCTGACTCCATTTCTGCAATGATCAAGATTGGGCTGTGTGTCCAGGACATGGGTGGGAGCCCTGACAACACTCCGGGTGGGCCCTATGTGAACCGCAGCTTTCAAGTAGAAGACAAAAGAACCAGGAATGAGAAAAATAAAAGGTATTAAAATAGGCTTAGCTACTTTGGGGTTTTCCTTTGTATTTATTTTTAGCAAGGATTGTGTGCCTAACTCTGCATTAAAATAGCTGATGCTCCCAGTCATTGTTCCAGGCCCTTGCACACTGCAGCCTGGCAGGCTTTCTGCAGCCAAAAGTGAAGGCAGCTGGCAGGGCCTGGCCCACCCAAGCCGAGGAGAGGGCATTTATTTCATGGACCTCCCTCACTGAACCCTCGTGGGCGTGAATGCAAACAGAAGCAGGGTGCTTTGGGTATGGCTGAGCTGGGAAGGCTCATAGGAGCCAACCATGCTTGAGGACTTAAGCCTCCAAAATGCGTCTCCTGCTGCCTGCAGCCGTGGGAGCTGAGATTCCTTCACTGCATCAGCAAGCCTGGCATCTCAGGGAGGCAGATGCCACAGCCAGCTCTGCTCACACTCCGTTAGGGACTTTGAGCATTTTTCCTAGGAGAAGAGTTCAGGAAGACCTTCTAGTCAGCAAGCCCCACCTTAAAATGCCCGAATCTGTCACATCCTTCCTACTGACCCATTAGCCACCAGGGAGGACCAGGTGCTTCGGTTGAACGGATTAGAGGGTAGAATGGGGAAGGAGCTACGAAGGGGAAGGGGACCCCGGAGTGAGAAAGTTTAAGCGACAAACCCTCCCTTTGCCCAGAGGTTTCCAAGTCTTGGCCCTGGTGCCAGTGGTGGCGGGGTCGGGGGCGCTCGGGAGGCCCAGGGGCTGCCCCTCGGCCCCGCCGCGCGAGGCCAGCCGAGGCCAGCGGACCAAGGCGGCAGCTGCAGGCGCCTCCTTCCCCCGCAGCACTGAACTCCCCCGCCCCGCACTCGAGGCGGCTGCCAGGAACTGAAATATTAATAGGCACAAACTTCCTGGAAAGATTTGCGTCTTCAACACAGATGACCCCGCCTTGCCCACTGAAATAAATAAAGGGCAGCTCCGGGGCCAGGCGGCGGGGAATCCGGGGCACTGCCGCGAACCCACCCCCCGCCGGGCCTCCGCCGCAGCCCAAGGGCGCTCGGCGCGGGCTCTCTAAATGTCCCGCGGGACACCACGGGCAGGAAGCGCGAGCTCGGGGCTGCCTTTCGTAAACAGGGCCTGGGCGCGCGCCCGCAGTCTGGACGCCCCAGGTGGACGCGCGCACGCCCGGCCACGCGCACGCCTCCGCCCCCTGCCCCGCGAGCAGCCCCCGCCTGGCCCGCCAGCCCCAGCCCACGGATGACGCGCGCGCCCCCCAGCCCGCGGTTTCTCCTACCGCGACGCACCCCGCCCGCCCTCTCCGCCCCTCAGCCGGGACATCTGTCACTTAGGAGCCTCAAAACAAATCCCCCCACCTGGCGTTTAGAAATGCGATTTGGTTTTCGGAGTTCTTCGATATTCTCATCTCCCGGGATTCCCTGGGCAAGGAGGCAGCTGTGGCTCAGGAGGCCAACGCACCTCTCCTCCCAGCGGCTTAGGAGGCGGTGACAGGCCAGGAAACCCCACTCCGTCCGCCGCTTTCCCCTTGCGCCGCGGATCCAGCGCCTGCTCCCATCTTGCCCGTAGCAATGTGCCAGTGTAGGGAAGTGTCAGTGCCCAACTCAACTGCACACCCCATGGAGCGGCCCGGACGCCCCAGCTCAGGCTTCAGGCTTCTGAAGGGAGCAGCTGCATTTGCTCCAACTGTTCTCCCCACCTGCAAGCCATCCATTCATTCATTTAAAATAGTTAGTGGGCGCCTAATAGGCACTATTCTAGGAACTGGGGATACAGGAGCAAAAAGAAACACAAAAATCTCTGCCCTGCTGGAGCTTTTATTGTAATGGGAGAGACAGAACAACCAAAGTAAAATGTGAAATATGTTAAAATAGTGATCAAGCCAAGACAAAAAATAATAATAATAACCACAGGGAAGAAGAAGGATATGCAATGTGTGTTAGGAGAAGTTTCGGGCAGGGTGCCTGGCAGGCCTTCACTGAGAAGGCGACAGTGATTTTTGAGTAAAGGCCAGAGGGAACCCAGCAAGCCACCCACACAGATATCCGGCGGCCTGCTGTGTTCCCAGAACAGCAGGGAGGCCAGAGTGGCTGGAGCAGAATGAAGAGGAGGTGCCTAGTGGAAGCCAGGGACCTGGCTCAGTGGCTGATGCCTGTAATTCCCGCACTTTGGGAAGCTGAGGCAGGTGGATCACCTGAGGTCAGGAGTTCGAGACCAGCCTGGCCAACATAGTGAAACCCTGTTTCTACTAAAAATACAAAAATTACTGGCCGGGCGCGGTGGCTCAAGCCTGTAATCCCAGCATTTTGGGAGGCCGAGGCGGGCGGATCACGAGGTCAAGAGATCAAGACCATCCTGGTCAACATGGTGAAACCCCGTCTCTACTAAAACTACAAAAAATTAGCTGGGCATGGTGGCGCGTGCCTGTAGTCCCAGCTACTCAGGAGGCTGAGGCAGGAGAATTGCCTGAACCCAGGAGGCGGAGGTTGCGGTGAGCCGAGATCGTGCCATTGCACTCCAGCCTGGGTAACAAGAGCGAAACTCCGTCTCAAAAAAATAAAAAAATAAATAAATAAAAATAAAAATACAAAAATTAGGCCAGGTGCAGTGGCTCATGCCTGTAATCCCAGCACTTTGGGAGGCCAAGGCAGGCAGATCACGAGGTCAGGAGTTCAAGACCAGTCTGACCAACATGGTGAAACCCTGTCTCTACTAAAAATACAAAAATTAGCCAGGCAAGGTAGCATGTGCCTGTAATCCCAGCTACTCAGGAGGCTGAGGCAGGAGAATTGCTTGAACCCAGGAGGCAGAGGTTGCAGTTAGCCAAGATCGTGCCATTGCACTCCAGCCAGGGCAACAAGAGCGAAATTCCATCTCATTAAAAAAAAAAAAAAATTAGCTGGGCATGGTGGCACTTGCCTGTAATCCCCGCTACGTGAGAAACTGAGGCACAATAGTTACTTGAACCTGGGAAGTGGAGGTTGCAGTGAGTCGAGATTGCGCCACTGCACTCCAGCCTGGGCAACACTGTGAGACTGTGTCTCAAAAAAAAAAGAAAAGAAAACTAGTCAGGCATGATGGTGGTGCCTATAGTCCCAGCTACTTCAGAGGCTGAGGTGGGAGAATCACTTGAACCCAGGAATTTCAGGCTTTAGTGAGCTATGATCATGCCACTGCACTCCGCCTGGGCAGCAGAGTTAGGCTCTGTCTTTGAAAATGAAAAAAAGAAGCTAGGGCCGGAGAGGTAAGAGAGGGGGTCAGATCTTGGAGAGAGACGGTGGGCCATTGTAAGGACTTGGGCTTATAGATGAGAGCCACTGCAGGGTTCTTCTTTCTGGGCAGGGGAGGGACACCTGTGACTTTTGAAAGCAACACCCTGGAGGGCGGGGAGATTGCAGAAGCAAGGGCAGAAACAGGAGACCAGTCAGCAGGCTCTTGGGGTAATCCCAGGAGAGATGATTACCCTAGGGGATGGCCTAGGGTGTGGCTGAGGAGGTGATGAGAAATGGTGGACTCTGGAAATATTTTAAAGGCTGACAGGATTTATCGCCAGGCCAAATATGAAGTGGGAGAGAGAAAGAAGAGAGAGGAATCAAGGGGAGTCTCAAGGTTTCTGCCTGAGCAACAGGAAGAAAGGGTTGTCATTAACCAAGATGGAGAAAACTGGCCTTGCTAGTTTGGTGGGTGGGGGTGGGACTCTTAGAAGCCTAGTTTTGATGGGTTGGATTTCAGACACCCATTAGATACATCCAAGTGGAGGGTTAAGTAGACACTGGTAAGGGAGGGCCAGTGCAGAGGAAATGTGCAGGCCGGGGATAAATCCTGGGGAGCTGCCACCACAGACCTGCTGGTATTTAAAGCCACAGTTTTCTTTCTTTTTTTTTTTTAAAAAAAAGACGGGGTTTCACCTTGTTGGTCAGGCTGATCTTGAACTCCCAACCTCAGGTGATCCACCTGTCTTAGCCTCCAAAGTGCTTGGATTACAGGCATGAGCCACCACACCCGGCCCAAAGCCACAGTTTTCTGAGACTAGCTAGCTCTGTACTGTCCAATATGGTAGCCACCAGCCACATGTGGCTCTCCAACACTTAAAATTAGTGCAAATTGTGTGACTGAAGAACTAACTTTTTTTAAAGAGATGGGATCTTGCTCTGTTGCCCAGGCTGAAGTACAGGGGCACAATCACTGTAGCCTGAAATTCCTGGGCTCAAGTGATCCACCCACCTCAGCCTCCTGACAGCTAGGCCTATAAGTGCACACTACTGTTACCAAGTAATTATTTTATTTTATTATTATTATTTTTTTAGTGAAGATGAGATCTCCCTATGTTGCCCAGGCTGGTCTTGAACTCCTGGCTACAAGAAATCTTCCAGCCGGGCGCGGTGGCTCACGCCTGTAATCCCAGCACTTTGGGAGGCCGAGGCGGGTGGATCACGAGGTCAAGAGATCGAGACCATCCTGGTCAACATAGAGAAACCCCGTCTCTACTAAAACTACAAAAAATTAGCTGGGCATGGTGGTGCGTGCCTGTAATCCCAGCTACTCAGGAGGCTGAGGCAGGA